TAGCCGGGCATGGTGGCGCATGCCTGTAGTCCCAGTTACTCGGGTGGCTGAAGCAGCAAGATTGCTTGAGCCCAGGAGTTTGAGGTTGCTGTGAGCTAGGCTGACACCATGGCACTCACTCTAGCCTGGGCAACAAAGTGAGACTCTGTCTCAAAAAAAAAAAGCATAAAATTGAGGCCAGGTGTGGTGGCTCATACCTATAATCCTAATAGTTTGGGAGGCCAAGGTGAGAGGATCGCTTGAGGCCAGGAGGTTAAGATTGGCCTGAGCAACATAATGAGACCCTGTCTGTACAAAATGTAGGGAAAAAAAATTTAGCTGAATGTGATGTCATAGTTCCAGCTCCTCAGGAGGCTGAGGCAGGAGGATCACTTGAGCCTAGGAATTTGAGGTCGCAATGAGTACTGATGATGCCACTGTACTCTAGCCCCAGGCAACAGAGTGAGACCATCTCAAATAAATAAATAAATAAATAAATAAATAAATAAATAAAATTGAACACACATTTATATTTAAAAAAAACTAAAAAAACTATAAATAGAAGAAAACTATTATAATGTGATATAGGGCATTACCTAAAACAGCAAACATCAAACTTTAAAAGCATTTTTATTAAAGTCAGGAGTAAGATGAGGATGCCCACGATCATCACTACTATTTCGTAAAGTAATAATTGTCCTAATGGTTATAAGAAAATAAAATAAGAGGTATAAGAAAGGACTAGACAAATTGATAGTTTGTGTAAATAATATCTACATAAAAAAAAAACAACAGCATCTACTGAAGAACTAAGTGAATATATATACACACACACATATATATACATATTTTGTATTATATATAAAAAATGCAACAGTATTGCTGGCTATAAGATCAAAGTACAAACATCAATAATTGTCTTATATTGTCAGCAATAACCAAATAGAAAATAAAATAAGAAAAAGATAAAATGTAAATTAGCAATAAAAGTTACAAAGCACCTCAGAAAAAATTAGCTAAAGATAAAAGAGCTTTAAGAAGAAAATGATAAAACATTATTAAAGGATGTCACGATAGGCCAGGCCAAGTGGCTCACGCCTGTAATCCTAGCACTCTGGAAGGCTGAGGCGTGTGGATCGCTCTAGGTCAGGAGTTCAAAAGTAGCCTGAGCAAGAGCAAGACCCCGTCTCTACTAAAAATAGAAAGAAATTAATTGGCCAATTAATATAGATATATAGAAAAAATTAGCGCGCATGGTGGCCATGCCTGTAGTCCCAGCTACTCGGGGAGCTGAGGCAGCAGGATTGCTTGAGCCCAGGAGTTTGAGGTTGCTGTGAGCTAGGCTGATACCACGGCACTCTAGCCTGGGCAACAGAGTGAGACTCTGTCTCAAAAAAAAAAAGAATAACAGTGGAATCCTAACTTTTTTATTAATGCTTAAATTTTGAAATATATTTGATACAAAAACAACAAATGTGAATTTTTGAGCAGTGGTTATATTGGATATTAATTATTCTGTGAATGTTTTTGAATGTTTTAAACTTGTCAAAATAGGAACAAAAAGTCTGTATTTATATTCACCATTTGCTGGGCTTTTGTTTTTTATTTTTTTTGAGACAGGGTCTTGCTCTTTTACCTGGGCTAGAGAACAGTAGCATCATCATAACTCACTGCAACTTCAAACTCCTGGGCTGGGATTATAGGCGCATCCTACCACGCCTGACTAATTTTTCTATTTTTTGTAGAGAGTGGGTCTTGCTTTCACTTAGGCTGGTCTTAAACTGCTGGTCTCAAGCGATCCTCCCACCTTGGCCTCCCAAAGTGCTAGGATTACAGGCATAAGCCACTGTGCCCAGTCTGCTTTTAGTAACACCATTCAGTTCCAGATGTTTGGAAAGACATATGGAATTTAAACTACTTCTGCAATTTTAGATAGTCGCATAAATATTGTGAAACTCTCAGCATTCTAAACACCATTACTGAGATACATCTTGTTTATTTTTTCACTGTGCTTTTTCTTTTTTTTTTTTAAAAGTCTTGCTCTGTTGCCTGGGCTAGAGTGCCGTGGTGTCAGCCTAGCTCACCACCTCACTACACTCCTGGGCTCAAGCGATCCTCTTGCCTCAGCCTCCCAAATAGCTGGGACTACATGTGTGTGCCACCATGCCCTTCTACTTTTTTTTTCTATTTTTAGTGGCCCAGTTAATTTTTTCTATTTTTGGTAGAGATGAGTGTTTTGCTCTTTCTCAGGCTGGTTTTGAACTGCTGAGCTCAAGCAATCCTCCCCCCTGGGCCTCCCAGAGTGTTAGGATTACAGGCGTGAGCCACCACGCCTGGCCCACCTTGCTTTAGATATTAGTCAGTTGTCATTATTAAAATAAGTATGAAGTGGCCCTTAGGCCAGGATAAGTTTGTTGTGGATATGTTTACAGAGTTTATATCCCAAAAGATATATAGATATTCAAGGTATCTCCACCTCTTGGGCATGGACAACACTGCTACAGAAAAAGAGGCAGAAGCTTGCCCCCAGACAAGCCTCAAGTAAGCACAATGAAGGACACAGGATAATGGTGGAATGCAGGCAAACAGCAGCTGGTCTGCATATTTTGAATGTTAAAGTCACACACAATAGAAACTGCTTTTAGAATAAGCTGATTCAGTTTGCTTTCTTATTCCTCATTTTGACTTCTGCAGTACTCAGTATTCTAGTTTTTGAGACACCACTATACTGCCCTGGGTTGGCTGGTGTTCAGGTTGTTCCTCTCATTCCCATTGCTGCTTCAAGCTCTGTATCCAGTCTGAGCTTTCTACCACTCAACCTTGTTCTGTGGTGCATCACTGAAAACTCTACAACCACCCAACTATTCCACCTCTCCAGGCTTCTTTTGTCAGCAGTATCACCCTTCTCTTTAGGTGGAAACTGAGTCCTCCTGCTAGGTTCTATTGACAGCTGGAAGCATGACTATCTTGTTCACCACTTGGGGCCTCTGGTAGTGCTCAATACACAGAGTAAGTTGTGAATATCAAGTCCTTGAAAGAGTAAATCCTTGCCTCAATTTCTCTCCCCAACACTCTAAATCCTATCACTTCTACCTTCATTTCTGCCCCTCCTTTCTGGTTCCATTAGAAAAGGACTAATGGAACCAGACTAATTATCAGTTCTGCCCTTTGTTTCTGCTCTAATAATTTTGTCAAGATAATTTTTTTGAAGCACAATGCCAATGAGAATGGGGAAAGTCAGTCCAGTTTGAATCAGCTCTTGGTGGTCCTGTTAAAACTGCTGGAAGCAAATGACCAGTTTAGATGCTCCCAATGTCTGCCCACTGCCTACTCTGTCCAAAACCCAAATTCCAAATTCTCCTGTGCTTGGCATTTAAGGAGACTCCCAGTTCTTTTTTTCTTTTTGAGACACAGTCTCACTCTATTGACCCGCCTAGAGGGCTGTGGCTTCAGCCTAGCTCATAGCAACCTCAAACTCTTGGGCTCAAGCCATCCTTCTGCCTCAGCCTCCAGAGTAGCTGGGACTATAAGCATGTGCCACCAACTCTGATAATTTTTTTCTATATATTTTTAGTTGTCCAGCTAATTTCTTTCTATTTTTCGTAGAGACGTGGTCTTACTCTTGCTGAGGCTGGTCTAGAACTCCTGAGCTCAAATGATCCGCCCACTTTGGCCTCCCAGGCCTGAGCCACCATACCCTGGCAGGAGACTCCCAGTTCTTAAAACCTTTTCTTGACTCTAATGCAAGTCTAACTGATTTACTGTTTCTCAAACCGTCCTGTTATATTTTCGTTTCTGGATTTTTTTTTTAATAGTATTTTTCTTGTGCCCGAAATATTCTCTGCTTTTATTTAAGTCTTACCATCCCTTCAAGGCACAAAACACATGTGATCCGTTCTAAGGCCTTTGTGAACTGCCGTCATTCTGTGTCTGAACTCCTGTAGCACACACCCATTTACTCATCTGGCATCTAACAAATGCCAGCTTTGATCACTTACCCTTTTATGCTTACATTGTCTTACTGTTTGAGGTTTTCTTTCGCCCAGTGTCTCACAACCAGAAATTTTACTATACTTGATCTAATAAAGATGAGATTGTTTTTTTTTAAAGCCACATTAAATTCCTGAAGTTGATCATGTTGGCAATTAAATTAAATCAATAGAATGGCCACTATGTTTAAGGAAGGTTTCTTTCTAGTAGGCTGGGGAGTAGAAGGGAAGGGCATAATTTTATAAAAAAGGTTCTTATTCACAAGGAACTAATCACTTCCTGGCCAGAGAAGGTGTTCTTTACAATGACTCTTGTTTTTTGGGTTGAGCCACCTCAATACTTCATGTCCTTATTAATTTCTGAGATTGCATCAAAACCGCCTGCCACACCTATGTGAGCAAGTACATGAGTCTTTCAGAATTGAGCGCATAATATATAAATGTCTATTTTTAACGGTAATGACTGTCTAGCTTATATATAAACAAACCCACACCTTCTGAAAGCATGCTGTCTTTTACTACCACCCTCTCCCTCCCCGACTCTCAACGGTAACCACCGTCTTATTTCTCCAACTGGAACACTTGCATGCACCGGTGTATAAGCCTGCATTCCGTGCTATTTTTAAATCTTAAAAAACAAGTCCTAAAATAACTCATTTGTATACAACTCCAGCAGCCGGAGTCGGCTTAATATATCACACAGCTGTTACTTTTGGTTTCTTTTTGGTAGCAGGGACACTTAGATTCGCACTTGTTGGCAGTCTCCAACTTGGTCGAGTGGTATAAACACATGAAATACAAAAGCAGCACAACGGCTGAAGGAGCGTCCCAAGCGTCCCGCACTACACCCCAGGGAGCCGGCGGCCCAGGCCCCCCACCCACCTGGCGACCCGCCGAACCCGAACACGGCGGCGCGCGCCCGGTGGCCACCCTCCGCCCTTCGCGGAGGCGGCGCGGCCGAGCCCCGGCCCCAATTGGCGGAGGCGGCGGGCCGGCGCGTGCGTGCGCGCGCGTAAACGCCCGAATGGGCCGCGGCGCCCCGCGCGCTCCCTCCGGGCGGTAGGGGGCGCGCACCGCGGAGCCTCGGCGAGGTCGGCTCCTCGCGGGGTCTGTGCGGCCTGTGTGACCAGAAGGAAGATGGAGCCGAGAGCCGAGCCTGAGGGGCGGCCCTGACCGTTCTGACCGAGGTCCTGCCCCCTTTCGCCGCCGGGAGCCTCCTTCCTCTCCGGACTAGAGCGCTCGAGCTCCCCAGTGGCCTGGGCCCCGAGAGTGGAAATGGTCGCCGAGGCCCAGGGCGTGGGGCTTCCGCGCGCCCCGTGACGGGAACTGGGGAGCCTCGAGGGAGCCCCGCAACTCCAGGCGCGAAAACCCCCGCATGGTGAGGAGCAGGTATCGGCCCAAAGGGAGTGGGTCGGTCCTGGGTCCGCGCCGCGACTTGGGTCCCCTCGCTCGCTCGGGTCTCCAGCCTCCGCCTCGCACGCAGCCTTTGTGTTTTTCGCGGTGGGGGGCGCAGGGCACGTGGCCTCGCCTAGGTTTCGTTGGGAGGAGGCGAGGTTGTCGCCGCAGGGGAGGAGGGCGGGGTTTCGAGCTGGCGCTCCCGCGGGCGGGGGTCTCTCCGGGAGCCCGGGGTGAGGGTCACGTGGGCTGGGGGCTGCTGGGCGCCTCGCGCGGGGCTCGGGATGATCGGTCACAGGTGCCTGTGCGGTTGTCACCCGGAGCCGGGCGCCGGGTCCGGGCGATGTTGGACTGGTTGCGTGAGCAAGTTGACTCAGCTCTTCCTCCTGGGCTGGTCAAGTTCGGACACGTTCCAGTCAGTAGTAAAAGGAGCTAAGCCCTGACTTGTCTCCAGCTGGGGCTATTTAAACCATGCCTCTTCCCAGCTGTGTTCAGTGGCCGTTAGCAATAGACACCTGTGGTCACAGGCCTGCAGCACTTTTTCTACACCGATCCAGGTAAGGACCGACTGACTGACAGCTTTATTTTTTAATAAAGGCAGTATTTATTTCCTTTCTTTATGGTATCTTTTTTCACAGATGTTTCATTATTTCCAGTTTTTATCCTGTGTTTGTTTCCTACTTGTAGGCAAATGTGCAATACCAACATGTCTGTATCTACTGATGTAGCCACCTCACAGATCCCAGCTTCGGAACAAGAGACCCTGGTTGGTATTTTTGTCTCACGTGTAACTTTTAAAAAATAATATAGTTTATGAGATGATCAGCTAACTTTCATGCACCCTAATTGTAGCACGGCTTTTGAAATGAAATTGTGTGTACATAACTTAAATTCTGCTATCTCAGGCATAACTGTGTGGAGTAAAAAATGAACTTAAGAATGGGTATTTTCTTAGCCCTTTAACACATGGACTATAAAAATTAGTTCCATTAAATTCTTAAGCGAGAATGCTGAAGTTATGTTTGTTATGTGATTGATTTTTTTTTCTATCTTGACCTGTCAGTATTTAATTTTTTAAATGGTTTCTGAAAATCACAAAAATAGCAGTTGTAAAGATTTTAGGCATTACAGAAATATATAAAGTAAAAACTGAAAATTTCAGTCTTTCTGTCATGTTTCCTTTTAGAGTTTTTCTGTGTACATAGCCACGTATGTTCACATGTGAATTTAAATGTATGTTATTGTCCTGTTTGTTCTAAAACAGGGTTAAACTAGAGGTGTTCTACAACTTGCTTCCTTGTCAACAAGTAAAATCTACAGAATCTTTTTAGTGGCTGTATAGTATTCCATAGCACAGCTATACCATTTTTAATTATTTGTGCCTTTACTGATAGATTTTTTTAAAATTGCCTCCTGTTTTTGAGTATTACAAATAGTGCTGCTTTGTACATTGATCTTAACACAAGTGTTATGTGACTATTTTGGTTAAGAAATGTTTTATAGAATTACAACTACTGCATCCCAAATTTTACCTATATTTGATTGCTGCTGGTAACTTCTTACCAAAACGTTTTAACAGGTTTCACTCCTACTACCATTGAATATTACCAATCTTTAATTATTATTATATTTTTGCCTTTTTGAGGAGTAAAAGGTACTGTGCCATTTCGATTAGTATTTTCCTAGTCTCTTGGTGAGGCTGGGCATCTTTCCATTTTGTTAAAGCATTTGTTTCCTTGGGTTTGCCTGGTCTTGTCTGTCTGTTTTTCTTTTAGGTTTTTTGTGTTTTTCTTAATTGGAGTAGTTCTCTTTTTTAAGTGTATATAATTTTTGGTGTTTACTAATGTTTCGTTTAACTTTATGTTGTCTTTTCCCTATTGAGAACATTTTTATGAAGTCAAATTTGTAGACTTTTGTTGGCTTTCGAATTTCATATTGTGCTTTGGTAGAACTTTCCCTTCCTAAGGTCTTGCAGATATATTCCTATATTTTATTCTAGTATTTTTAAGTTTTACATATACTGTATCTTTACATGAAATTTATCTTTTTGTTCTTAAATGTGAGATCATGAATGGTATTGTCTTTTATAATTATTTTCTTATTAATATTTTTTAAGTCAGTAAAAAAACTAATGGCTTTCCATTGTGTATTTTTACTTTGAGTTATTTTATGTAATTTGTAGCTAATATGCCATATATAAAAATTTAGGAGAAAAAAAGTAATTTTTTAACCTTTTCTGAGAGGGTACATTGTTTAGCCTGAAAGGATATATGTAAGCATATTTTTTAAAAATGTGTGATCAGAACAAGTAATACTTCAATTCTACATTTATTATGTATTTTAAGTTTTTCAATCATTAAATAATTTTCGGTTGATTAGCTGGAAACAGGCCATTTTTAAAAATCTGGTTTTGAGAGCTCCCAAATGCTGTTAGATTTCAAAGTCAGGTACAAGACAGGGGCATATTGAGGGATACAGAGCCACCAGTCTGTATGGGGTGTGGCAAGCTGTAAAGATACTCGAGTTTTACAGGTTTTGATTCAGCAACAGGAAGGGAGAAAGGACATAAGCAATAAAATCTTCCTGGTTTACATAGTATCTATACTTGTGAGTTGGGTAGACCATCTGTAATGAAAAGCTTAAAACATTTACTGTCTGGTCCTTAACAGAAAAAAATAACTCCTAATCTCCTTGGCAGGCTTCTTGGAATATAGATCATATGTCTCATTTGTAATTTTTTTTTTTTTTTTTGCAGTACCCAGCACTGTCTGGTTCATAGTAGAAGCTTAATAAATGTCAAGTAGTTTTTTGAAATGTAGACCCACTAAGAGGCAGTGTGATATAGCAGGAAGAAAATGCTGAGTTGTAGTTGAGGGACATGAGTTGCTGCCTCAGATCTGTTCTCAGTTACCCTTGCCAACTTGGGTTAGTAGTTTTAAGTTCTCTAGCCTTCAAGAACCTAATCCGTAGAAAGTGAAGATTGGGAACAGGACCCACCCTAAAGATGTATTTTTTTCTATTGGATTCTCTAAATTAGCTTATAATAAGCTCATTGGATCAGTATAGTAAGCTCATTGGATCTCAACAATTTACGGTTGTTTGTAAGGCAGTAAGCACATGATAAAAATAGCTGGAGGAAAAAAAATCTTCACTATCTTGGGATGGGTACCATTTATGATCTCAACTAATGATAATTCTGTGATATTTGCATAATAATTGATCCTCCCCAGAATATTTTTCCAAACACTCTTGACTGTCTTGTGGTATTCAGTTTATATAGTCCAACCATTATACTTAGTAAAAACATTATAACCGGCCGGGCGCGGTGGCTCACGCCTGTAATCCTAGCTCTCTGGGAGGCTGAGACGGGCGGATTGCTCAAGGTCAGGAGTTCGAAACCAGCCTGAGCAAGAGTGAGACCTCGTCTCTACTATAAATAGAAATTAATTGGCCAACTAATATATAGGGAAAAAATTAGCCGGGCATGGTGGCGCATGCCTGTAGTCCCAGCTACTCGGGAGGCTGAGGCAGGAGGATTGCTTGAGCTCAGGAGTTTGAGGTTGCTGTGAGCTAGGCTGACGCCATGGCACTCACTCTAGCCTGGGCAACAAGTGAGATTCTGTATCCAAAAAAAAAAAAAAAACAAACATTATAATCTATCTTTATGGGCATGTTTGCTGCAGAGCTTATAGTTCTGGAATAATTTGGGCAGTATAATAGCAGCTGTTTTTTTTCATTATAGGTTAGACCAAAGCCATTGCTTATGAAGCTGTTAAAATCTGTTGGTGCACAAAAAGACACTTACACCATGAAAGAGGTAAGCTGAACTAAGAGAAAGAGGTAAACTGATGTCTTACTAATTGTATATAGCCATACTTACAGTTTTCAAGACCCTGGGGAAAAAATTGGCCACATAGATTTTTCATTAAGCAGCAACATTAAATTTTGTGGTCATTTGCACTATATTTTGAACCTGGAAATTCTATGTCTAGTTTCATTTCTCAGCTAGGAACTCAGACAAAGGGAAGCCCTGTATGCATTCTTGACCCTTTTATGCTGTGAACCTATTTGGCATACTGGTAAAAGTCTTCTCAGACTGGTAACTCCTTCTCAAATCTTGTTTTTAAATGTATGAAGTAAAATTTACAGGATTACAAAGGAAACTTACGTTTAAATACAGTCATCAAAAATAGTAAACAAGTTTGTGATATATGTGCTTTTGTTATTAACACATGAATTCCAAGATTTAGAACAGATCTAATAAATGTAATTTTGATGTAGTGAGGAGTATAGTAATATTTTGAGATGTTTGCTGTATGCATAGTATGATATGAAAACTCTTGTGGTTTTTATTGATCACAGGTATTACAAATACTATTGATTTGTTGCCTACATTTATGATTGAAGAAAAAGCTAAATTTCAGTTAGAAGTTAGTGGAAATAAAGATTAAAAAATTGTTTTTCCCGTCCAAATTAGTGGACCTCCTAAATTCTATCCAAGGACTTCTTGGGCATCCCTGGATGCCAGGTTAAGAACTTCTGCACTAGAGATACATGAGTATAGTATACTGATCTTTCTGGGATAGAGGTGAGCTGATTCATGAACACATGTTCTGTTTAGCAGATACAACATTTCAATGCATTCTCTAGCTTTCAATGTGTGTACAAAACATGATTTTCAGTGAGAGATTGAGCCATCCTAGGCAATATTTCAGTGTGAATGAAATGTTCCTGTTCCCCATCTGTACTGTTTACTTTATGGGGCTCAGATTACTTAAAACATTAAAGTTTCTCTGTCACAACAGAATAGTGGGGCAGGAAGAGATTCCAGACCCTTTTCCTTTTCAGCTACACTTTTACAAACTTCCTTAAGGGATCTTTGGTAGAAGTAATCTAGGTTCTCTTTCTTCTCACTGCCTTTCAGCCATCTCTCTAATTCATAGTCACATAGGAATATTCCTTTAAGGTGGACATGCTTAGTGCTTACAGGGAAGTGTCAGGTTAAATGGTATTTTGGGGGCTGTTAATTTGGAATTGACTTTATTAAATAATCATTTAAGGAAATGAAGTATGGATTTGGCAGTAGGTAGAAATGAGAAAATTGATCAAGACCATCACAAAGACTTGGAATGCATACGTTAAACTGTGTAACTGTAATATATAAATTGTCTGATGCTGTTTTCAGTTATAGGCTCTTTGTTCTGGGGCTCATATGGGAAAGGGGTGAAAGCTAGTATGGGATAGTAGAAAGAGCATTGGACTAGGAGTCAAAACACCAGGGGTCAGTTTCACCATTTTTGACACAGTGATAACAGTTCTATGAAATATCAGAAGGATGAGATAGTACTTTTTAAAAATTGTTGATGATTATGGGTACATAATAGTTACATATTTTTATGGGGTACACATGATGTTTCGATATAGCATACAAAATGAATTAATCAAATAAGGGTAATTGGGGTATCATCATCTCATGCATTTAATAATTTCTTTGTGTTAGGAACATAAGTATACCCTAACTTATTGTTGTTTAGTCACTTTGTTATGCTATCAAATATTCTATCTAACTATATAACTATATTTTTGCATTCATTAACCATCCCCACTTCATCCTTACCCCTTGCTACCCTTCCTAGCCTCTGGTAACCGTCATTCTACTCTCTGTCTCAATTAGATTAATTGTTCTTAATACTTAGCACCCACATATGAGTGAGAACATGTGAGATTTGTCTTTCTATGCTTGGCTTATTTCACATAACATAATGTTCTCCAATTCCATCCATGTTTCACAAATGGCAGGAATTCATTATTTTTTGTGGCTATGTAATATTCCATTGTATATATGTACCATAATTTCTTTAACCATTCATCCATTGATGGACATTTTGGTGGATTCCCTATCTTGGCTGGTTGTGAATAGTGTTGCAGTAAACATGGGAGTGCAGATATCTTTTCCATATTCTGAGTTCCCATGCTTTGGATATACACCCAGCAGTGGGATTGCTGGGTCATATGGTAGTTCTATTTTCAGTTTTTTTGGGGAACTGCCATAGTGTTTTCCATAGTGGTTGCACTAATTTACATTCCCACCAACAGTGTGTGAGGGTTCTCCTTTTTCCACATCCTTGCCAGCATTCATTTTTGCCTGTATTTTTGATAAAAGCTGTTTTAACTGGGGTGAGGTAATATCTTACTGTAGTTTTGATTTGCATTTCTGTGACTAATGACATCAAGCGTTTTTTTCATGTATCTGTTGGCCATTTGTATGTCTTTTGAGAAATGTCTATTCAGATCCTTTGCCCTTTTTTTAAATTGGATTATTTGATTTTTTTCCCATTGAGTTATTAGCACTCCTTACATACTCCAATTATTAATCCCTTGTCAGATGGGTAGTTTGCAGATATTTTTTCCTATTCTGTGAGTTGTCTGTTCACTTTGTTGATTGTTTCCTTTGCTGTGCAGAAGCTTTTTAGCTTGATGTAATCCCATTTGTCCAATTTTTCTTTGGTTGCCTGTGCTCTAGGGATCTTACTTAAGAAATCCTTGCCCAGACCAATGGTCCTGAAGCATTTACTCCAGATTTATTTATTTATTTATTTATTTAGTAGTTTCATAGTTTCAGGTCTTAGATTTGGGTCGGTAATCCATTTTGATTGGATTTTTGTATATGGTAAGAGATAAGGGTCTATCCATTTTTCTGCATATGGATATCCAGTTTTCCCAGCATCATTTATTGAAGAGACTATCCTTTTTCTCCACTGTATGTTTTTGGCACCTTTGTCGAAGATAAGTTCACTATAGATGTGTAGATTTATTTCTGGGTTCTCTATTCTATTCCATTGGTCTATGTGTCTGTGCTGTTTTGGTTACTGCAGCTCTATAGTATAATTTGAAGTCAGATAATTCCTCCAGTTTTGTTCTTTTTGCTCTGGATGGCTTTGGCTATTCTGGGTCTTTTGTGGTACCATATATATTTTAGTATTATTTTTTCTATTTCTGTAAAGAATGTCATTGGTATTTTGATGAGGACCACATTGAATCTGTAGATTGCTTTGAATAGTATGGACATTTTAACAATATTGATTCTTCCAATCCATGGGCATGGACTGTCTTTCCATTTTTTTGTGTCCTCTTCAGCTGCTTTCATCAGTGTTTTCTAGCTTTCATTGTAGAGATCTTCACTTCTTTGGTAAAGCTTATTCCTGGGTATTTTATTTTATTTGTAACTGTTGTAAATGGGATTACTTTCTTGGTTTCTTTTTTGGATTGTTTACTGTTGGCATATAGAAATGCTGCTGATTTTTGTATGTTGACTTTGTGTCCTGCAGCTTTACTGAATTTGTTTATCTGCCATAATAGTTTTTGAGTGGAATCTTTAAGTTTCTCTAGATGTAAGATCATATTGTCTAAAAACAAGGATAATTTGGCTTCTTCTTTTCCAGTTTGGATGCTCTTTCTTTCTTTCTTTTGTCTGATTTCTCTAGCTAGAAATTCCAGTACTATCTTAAATAACAGTGGTGAAAGTGAGCATCCTTGTCTTGTTCCAGATCTTAGAGGAAAAGCTTTCAGTTTTTCCCCATTCAGTATGATACTAGTTGTGGGTCTGTCACATGTGGCTTTTACCATGTTGAGGTAAGTTTCTTCTATACCCAGTTTATTGAGAGTTTTTATAATGAAGGGATGCTGACTTCTATCGAATGCTTTTTCAGTATCAATGCTTTTTCGGTATCGGTTGAAATGATCATATGGTTTTTGTCCTTTGTTCTGTTGATATAATGTATTACATTGATTTGCCTATATTGAATCATCCTTGTATCCCTGGGATGAATCCCACTTAATCACGAAGAATAATTTATCCATTTCTTCTAGGTTTTTCAATTTATTGGCATAGAGTTGCTTATAGTAGTCTATAATGATCCTTTGGATTTCTGCAGTATCAGTTGTAATGTCTCCCTTTTTTTTTTTTTTTTTTTTTTTTTTTCAGAGTCTCGCTTTTTTCTTAGTTTAGCTAATGGCTTGTCAATTTTGTTTATCTCAAAATTGTTAAACAAAGCCGTCTTCAGAATTTTTTTTTTTTTTTTTTTTTTTTTGCAACGGAGTCTCACTCTGTTGTCCTGGGTGTAGAGTACAGTGTCATCGTAGTTTACTGCAAACTCAAACTCTTGGGCTCAAGCAATCCTCTTGCCTCAGCCTCCCTAGTAGCTGGGAATATAGGCACATGCCACAACACCTGGCTAATTTTTCTATTTGTAGTAGAGATGTGTTCTTGCTTTTGCTCGGGCTGGTCTTGAACTCCTGAGCCACTGTGCCTGGCCTCCTTTTTATCTCTAATTTTATTTGGGTCTTCTCTATTTTTTTTTCTTAGTCTGGGAAAAGGTGTGTCTATTTTGCTTATCTTTTCAAAAAACCAACTTTTTGTTTTGTTGATGTTTTATAATGTTTTGGTTTCAGTTTCATTTATTTCTGCTCCGATCTTTATTATTTCTTCTAATTTGGAGGTTGGTTTGCTCCTGTTTTTCTAGTTCTTTGAGATATATTGTTAGGTTGTTTATTTGAAGTTTTTCAATTTTTTTTGATGTAGGCACATATTGCTGTAAACTTTCTTATTACCGCTTTTGCTGTATCCCATAGGGTGGTTTTTTTGTTTGTTTGTTTTTGAGACAGAGTCTTGCTTTGTTGCCCAGGCTAGAGTGAGTGCCGTGGTGTCAGCCTAGCTCGCAGCAACCTCAAACTCCTGGGCTCAAGCAATCCTGCTGCCTCAGCCTCCTGAGTAGCTGGGACTACAGGCATGTGCCACCATGCCCGGCTAATTTTTTCTATATATATTAGTTGGCCAGTTAATTTCTATTTATAGTAGGGACGGGGTCTCGCTCTTGCTCAGGCTGGTTTTGAACTCCTGACCTCGAGCAATCCGCCCGCCTCGGCCTCCCAGAGTGCTAGGATTACATGCGTGAGCCACTGCGCCTGGCCTCCCATAGGTTTTGATATGTCGTGTTTTCATTTTCATTTGTTTCAAGAAATTTTTCATTTCCTTCTTAATCTCTTCATTGACCCACTGGTCACTTAGGAGCATATTGTTTAATTTACATGTGTTACATGTATATTTTCCAGTGTTCCTTTTGTTATTGACTTCTAGTTTTATTTCATTGTCGGAAACAATACTTAGTATGCTTTCTATCTTTTTTTTTTTTTTTTTAATTTTTTGAGACTTGTTTTGTGATCTGACATGTGGTTTATCCTCGAGAATGATCCATGAGGTGAGGATAAGAATGTGAATTCTGCAGCTGCTGGATGAAACATTCTATAAGTATCTATTAGGTCCATTTGGTCTATGGAGCAGATTACATCCAGTGTTTCATTATTGATTTTCTGTCTGGATATTCTGTCCAATGCAAAAAATGGAGTGTTGAGGTCTCCAACGATTATTGTATTGGAGTCTATCTCTCTTTTTAGCTCTGAGTGCTCCGTTATCACATGCATATATATTTAGAATTGTTATATCCTTTTGCTGAATTGACTCTTTTATCATTATATGATGACCTTCTTTGTTTCTTTTTACAGTTATTGTCTTGAAATCTATTTTATCTAATAGACATATAGCTACTCCTGTTTTTTTTTGTTTCCATTTGCATCGAGTATCTTTTTCTATACCTTTATTTTTAGTCTGTGTGTGTGAGAAAGTACTTGTAAAAGTATGTTGCAAACTGTAAAATGCCATACATATTTAGGTGGCTATTAATGGGTTTGTATCTGGATATCTTAAAATGTATTGCCAACTTAATGGAGCACATGGAATATAATTTAACTTTATATTAATTGCTCAGGGTAATTATTTTGAATATTTATTACTGTATGGATTATATTGATATCTTTGGTTTATTTCATTCCCTGAATACTGTCAATATTATGTAGATGTCATTGGCCATTTTTCTATTTATCTCCTCTGATGAGCTTAGAGGCTACTGAGGGTGTATGGTGTTTGTGACTATTTACAAAATGGCTCCAGGTTACTGCCATATTTTAGTTGATTTTTTTATTCTGCAACTTTTTATTGCTCTCTCTCAGTGGTTTTTGTATTTTGCTGTCTTTTCCTTCCTAATATGTTAGTATTTAGATATCTGGGCAGAGTTAAAGTCTGCAAGGCAAAAAAACATTTTAAAGTTTAAGTGAATAGAGAAGCAATTATTTCTATTTCCATCAAATTAAAAGGAAAAAATTTTAAAGTAGTTTCTTTTAGAGTATAAAATGGTTGTTATTCTACATGATTGTGGATGTGGTTGCTGGTCGTTTAACCCTGTTCAGATAAATGGGATATTATTGAATGTATTTGAAACTAACATTTAGTTTTCTTTAATGCTCAGAAATCATTTCTATTTCAGGTTATATTTTATCTTGGCCAGTATATTATGACTAAACGATTATATGATGAGAAGCAACAACATATTGTATATTGTTCAAATGATCTTCTAGGAGATTTGTTTGGAGTGCCAAGTTTCTCTGTGAAAGAGCACAGGTAAATTCTTCAGTTTAGTCTATTGTAAAAAGCCTGCTGGGCAAACATTTCAATTCACCTCCACCCTTACTCCCTTTTGTCAGAGAAAAATTGTTGCAATATATAAAAAGATGCTGAAATTTAATTTCTTAGCTCTAGCATATTTGAGAACCTGAGCTGTGTTTGAGACCTAGCTCAGTCATTACTAGCTGTGTGACAAGGTAAATTAACTTAACCTAAGTCTTAGTTTCCCATTTATAAAATATGGATTTTATATATATCTCATGTGGAGGTTATATTTCATGAAAAGACATTGTATGAAAAGCATAGAGTTTGGCACATAGTATTCAAATGTTAATTATAGTTATATACTATAAATTATTATTCCAATCACCTTCAGAAACAATCTTTATACCACCATGTGGTAAAGCTTAAACTTGAGCCTTAGTTACTTTTGAAATCATTTTCTTTGTCATATATCATTATAGCACTTATCAGCAGAATTTAGCCCAGGTAACATTTCTAGAATTATTCTTTTGGAAATTGAATGTTTTTTCAGTCATTCTTACCTTACGTTTGGAATTATTACATTTGATTTAGTGCAGGCAATCTGTGTTGAGCTTTACCATTTGTATCTTAATAAAGAGGATGAATACTTTTCACCTGAAATAGTTAACTAGCTTCTAATGTTGAATGCTCAATAATATACCTAAAAAAATGGTAATTAAATGGGATGTTTTAGCTTTAAAACAATTTTGTTAATATAAACATAATATATTGTTGAACATTAAGGGAAGACAGCTAAGAAAAGTATGGGAAAAAATGACTAGTTTGTCACCAAAAGGTATTTTTAGTAGTCATTTTCATATTATGTGCAGATGTATGTTTTAACCAAGTTGTGAACATAGTACTATATTTAATTTCATCTTAATTTCACATATAAGCATCTTTCCATTGACAAACAACTTCTATTTAACATTGATTCATGTTGTCATTTTATACTTGGCTTTGGGATATAAGATTTACTTTTTATAAGTTTGATAAATGTATTTTTTCATCCTTTGAATATTTAATCTTCTGATAATATTTTGAGGTGTAATTTGTGATAAAATTATCTTTGACTTGAATTCTGAATGTTAAGAGATTAGAAATTGAGGAAATTGCTGACTTGAAAAAGGATATGGGCCAGGCATGGTGGCTCACACTTGTAATCCTAGCACTCTGGGAGGCTGAGGCGGGAGGATCTCTTGAGCCCAGGAGTTCGAGACTAGCCTGAGCAAGAGTGAGACCCCATCTCTACTAAAAATGGAAAAAATTAGCCAGGTGACTAGGGAAAAAAAAAAAAAATTAGCCGGGTGTGGTGGCATGTGCCTGTTGTCCCAGCTACTTGGGAGGCTGAGGCAGGAGAGTTACTTGAGCCCAGGAATTTGAGGTTGCTGTGAGCTAGGCTGATGCCACTGCACTCTAACCCAGGCAACAGAGCAAGATCCTGTCTCACAAAAAAAAAACAGAAGAAAAAGGATATGAATAGGAGTATTGTGGGGTTTCTTGGGGGGTGGGGGTAGGGAGGTTTAGGTTGCTGTGTCATCTTTCCCAAGGGTGAAAAGAGATAGTTGGGGTTGGTACTTTCCCCTTAACACTGAGAATTAGAAATGGTATTTTGTGACAAACATTCTCTAAAATCGTTAGTTTAAAAACTTAAGAAAAAGAAAAATGTATCCTGACATCAATGAATGCTGGGATAAATGAATTGTTTTCCCATTAGGATATAAGCTCCATGGGACAATGGTTTGTTTCTGTTTTTTTCTTTGTTTTTCTCCAGTGTCTAGAATAGTTTTGACTGGTACATAGTAGATTCTAAGTCTGTATTTATTGAATGAATGAATACTGCTTTATGTTTTAATAAGTTTTAAGATCAAAAAAGAAAATCCATTAGATGATTGATCTAAGGTTGATTAAAGTCAAGAATATACCAAGTTTCTATCTAGTGGGTTTTGCATAACTGACTACTATTTTAGGTAGTTTGCTTCTAAGCACAGAGCTACAAAAATTCATTTCTGTTTGAAAATAAATATAGTAATTGCTTGCTGCTTGCGCACCCATTTTTGGGGGGGCCTTTTGGTAAAGTCCAAACAAAGCACACTTCGGGAAATGGAGATGTGAGGGCTTTCACCCTGAGAGACCTTACTGATTATTAAAAGTAGCTGTATGTAATCATTGTGCTACTTATTACTGTGGTGCTTTCAAGGGTCTAGAACATTGCCAGTGATATAATTTGAATACAGTGATTTAAAATTTGGTTTTGAATGTGTGCAGTAGTTCATACTAAATATGCATTTAAAAATATGGTTAAATTCAGTTTAATTTTTATTTTAAAATGAATATTTCTTGTTTTTTTTTCTCCTACAAGGAAAATATATACAATGATCTACAGAAACTTGGTGGTAGTCAATCAGCAGGGTAAGTTAATTTTGAACATCATAAATATATACCGTAAAAACATTTTAAAGATGTTTTTGTTTATGTACATATATTTTATTATTATGATTCTCTTTAAAAGTTGCTATAAAAGTCATACATTTAACAGGAAGAAGTATGTATGAAGCTAAACATAAAACTAAGGTTCTAATGTAAAGCTAAATATCCTATTGTATCAGTTTAAGCCTTGGGATACCAGAGTTAGGATTTGATGTGAAAGGTAGATAATTTCAAAAGCTCCTGCTTAACAGAGGCGTGATCAAACCTTGAAAAATGTATTGAAAAGCCTTGGAAAATAATGTAGTACCTAGGTAGACCCATGGAGGATGGTTTTGTTTTGTTTTGTTTTTTGTTTTTGGTAATAGGTGATACTTTGTTTACCAATTTGTGCAGGTAAGTGGCATTTTATGTCCCTACTTGATGTTTTTAACTGGGCATTTTTAGACTTGCAGTTGTTAACTGGTTATTTTGGGGTACCATCTCCCTTTGATAATCTCATGAAAGCACTGGCTTCTTGTTCCAGAAAGATGCACATATACATATACATTGATATGTTGGTAAATGTTTAACAACCCACTGTCCATGGGAAAAGCCTTTATTTGTGTGGTTGCTGATTTCCATGGTGTAAATACTCCCATTTTCAGGCTAGAAATATGGAGTTGGGATGAGATGTACACAGTTTTACTTTAGAGTGCTGGTAGGAGCTATCTTCAATACACTATAGCCCTTAAGTTCATCCTTGAATTATAATTAAAAACTACTCTCAGAAGCTTGTTTAGTTCCCGGAATGAATTGACCACTCCCTTGTGCTCCCTCTCTCCATGTTCAGATTTTATTGTTATATTGCTTTGTTACACTTGTTTATATTTCTGTTACCTGTGTCTAGTCAGGTTTGCATTCTATCACATAGCATAGTGTTTCATTAATATGTTGTTTACTAAATGTGTTGAATTGAATACTTATTTTTCCAAAGTTAGAATTTAAAATCCAGAAAAATGGCCGGGTGTGGTGGCTCATGCCTGTAATCTTAGCACTCTGGGAGGTCAAAGCAGGCAGATCGCTCAAGTTCAGGAGTTCGAAACCAGCCCGTCTCTACTAAAAATAGAAAGAAATTAATTGGCCAGCTAAAAACATATAGAAAAAATTAGCTGGGTGTGGTGGTGCATGCCTGTAGTCCCAGCTACTCAGGAGGCCGTGGCAGAAGGATTGCTTGAGCCCAGGAGTTTGAGGTTGCTGTGAGCTAGGCTGACGCCACGGTACTCTAGCCCAGGCGACAGAATGAGACTCTGTCTCAAATAAAATAAAATCCAGAAAAATGTATCAGCATCTTATCCCAAAATAAAAGAAGTTATTAGGCTGGTGACTTGGCATTTTATTGTTTTAAACTCTTCAAGATAATCATATGATGGCAGAATATACAACTATAGTATTTGCAGTAATAATTTGAATTTTCTGTTGTTTCCCTGATGTATTCATTCATTCATTTAAATAAACTTTGGCAGATTACTAGGAAACTTATATTAATGAGATGGTAACATGTAAATTACTTATTTCCATTCTGAGTTTGTTTTAGGTTTCAGTAGAATTCAAAAGTCCTATATCCATGTTCTCAACCTTGTCACACATAATGCTTCCTTTTTATTACATGTATTTTGTATCCTCTCCTTTATTATACTACATCAAAAGTCCTGGGTAATAAAACCTATCTATATGTGCAATTTAAGAAAATCAGTATAATGCCTTACCCATAGTATAAAAAGAAAATTAATACATGATAACATACCATTTCAAAATGTTAATGTTCAGGCACGACTTCACTGTTAAAATGAAAATGTTTCCGAGGGGGTAGTAAAGGGTATTTGATTATGATCCTGTATATATTCCAAATCTGAAACTTTGACTTTTGAGCTCTAATTCTATATATCCAGCTACAAGCTAAACTTGTCTACCTGCATAACTCATTTTAGTTTATTATCTTCCCATCCAAATCTGTTCACCTTTCTAACATTTGTCTCTTAGTGAATGATACCACCCATTTGTTCACTCAAGATAAAATCTTGGAGTCTTAACTCCTTTCTCTCTTGCCTTGTATATCAAACACCAGACCAGGTCTTGTTGGTTTTTACCTTTTTAATTTCTCTTTAATTATTTTTCCATGCCTCAATTTAGGCTTTAATACTTTTTTGTTTTATTGTAGCTACTGTCTAATACTGGTTTACCTGCTAGAATACTGGTTTCCTTGCCTGTACCCTCTTTTTCTTCTATTTTCCCAGAGTGATTTGTCACTCTTCTGCTTAAAATTACCGTTTAGGTATTCATTATTACTCTCTGGATAAACTACCTTCTGTGAGCTAAGAAATCAGTTTTATTTTTTAGACTAATACCCTTTTTAATGGGTGGCTACAACGTTGTCTTAGGGAAGATTCTGAAGTGTCTGCTGGGAAGAATGCAGTAATGTGGGAATGACATCATGAGTGTTACTTGTTGACATCCTTGTGCTGTTTGACTGGACACACAGAATACTTTACAGTCTGACGCTGTTTACATTCCAGTAAAAATGAACTACCTGTAGTTCCTGCAACAAGAACTGTTTGCCTCTGAATTCTTTTTCACATGCTATTCCTGTGGTCTGGAATGGCCTTTCCTATCCCTATTTCTACATCGTACTACAAAATCTTTCCTGATTCTTTGCTCCTCAGACCCTCCCCTCTCTACCAAGTAGTTACTATTCCATCTTCTTTGTGAATTTATACACAGAGAATTTATATACATTTTTCATGTGTTTATTGTACTTTAGAATTACTCTTTTATGTATCTTTTGTATTAAAATTGAGTTATTTTTATCTGTATTATGTAGCATGGCACTGGCATCTGGGGAATGCATGTTTAATGTTTGTTGAAAGGTTAAATTGTGTAAGAGTTTATGTTGGACTGATATCTATTAAATCGCCTAGTTTGTGATTCTTTGTTTTCATTTTTTTCTCAGAACCATCAGACTCAGGTACATCTGTGAGTGAGAATAGATGTCACCTTGAAGGTGGGAGTGATCAAAAGGTAAACTTTAAGGAAATTTCTCATTCTAATACAATATTTCTTGAAAATTGGAAAGGTTATTTAAAACACAGAATTTTAGTTTCCCAACATTATGTTTAGTTTGTCATATTTGTTTTTTCTTGAATGCTTAGGACCCTGTGCAAGAGCTACAGGAAGAGAAACCTTCATCTTCAAATTTGGTTTCTAGACCATCTACCTCATCTAGAAGGAGAGCAATTAGTGAGACAGGTATATATGAGTATTTATTTGACACATTCAAACAGCCTTTTGGTGTTCTGTCTTTAACGAAGGTAGCGCTTTTAGGGTTAATGAAATTTTTCTGCTTTTTTGGTTTAGATGAATGAACTTCTGAGTTTATTTTTTTATTTTATTTGGTATCCAAATTGCTTTTTTTTTTTTTTCAAATGGCTTTTTTTAGCAATATTTTTCCTGCCGACTATAGCAGGCAATGTTTACTGTGCTCCACTGGAGTTTATAATTAGCCAGTTCTCTAATATCAAGATAATACAGAATAAGGACATAAACTCTATTTTAGCCATTATTCTTAGTTACCTTTGCAGTTAAAATTTTAAATTGTTCTTAATAAATGATAACGCATACCAATGTGTTTTAAAACAGAAATAGGAAGGCAGAGGATATCTTATTAAATATCCTAAACTAAACAAATGGGTAGGTACTTGTGGAAAATATGAAGTTACATCTGTACCATATGTCAAAATGAATTCTAAATAAGTTTAAAATACAAATAAAAAAATACAAGCTATTTGACAGATAGTCACTTTTAAAACTGAGTGTGCCTGTGGAAGAGATAGTCACTTTAAATTTGACAATGTTAATATCTTTATTACATAAAAAGTTCCCAAAACAATACAGTAAATATTAAAAATTTGAATAGCAAAAAAGACAAGAAATGAACAGAAGTTTTTCACAGTCAATGCAAATAGCTAAATAACTATGGGGAGGGAGTGAATTTTGGTAATTTTAGCTTTATAGATAAAAAGACAAAAAGGGGGCGAGGAGCAGTGGCTCACTCACTCCTGTAATCCTAGCACTTTGGGAGGATCACTTGAGACCAGGAGTTCAAGACCAGCCTGAGCAAGAGTGAGACCTTGTCCCTACAAAAAGTAGAGAAAGTAGCTGAATATGGTGGCAAGAGCCTATAATCCCAGGTACTTGAGAGGCTGAGGCAAGAGGATGGCTTGAGCCTGGGAATTTGAGTTTGCAGTGGGCTTTGATGAGACACCACTATACTCTAGCCAGGGATGACAGAGCAAGATTCTGTCTCCAAAATAAAAAAATAAAAAAAAATACAAAAACGGATGTCTTTTGGTCTGTCCAATTAACAAAGATAAATTTTTTACTCATCCTTGCAACTTGTGTATTGGCACTGATACACTATTGATTTATCATTTGGTATAAATTGGTTAAATCTTTATGAATTATAAATGCTTAGAGTTATTAACATTAACCTAGTAATTAACTAAATAAGTGAAAACTGGGAGGGGGGCGGGTATATACATACATAATGAGTGAGATGTGCACCATCTGGGAGATGGTCATGATGGAGACTCAGACTTTTGGGGGAGGGGGAAATGGGCATTTATTGAAACCTTAAAATCTGTACCCCCATAATATGCCGAAATAAAAAAAAATTAAAAAAATAAAAAAAATAAGTGAAAACTGGTGAGTTATGACACTAAAATATTAATAGTCTCTCAGTGGTAGCGTTACAGATGATTTACATTTCTTTTTCTGTTTTCTTTAGATTTCTTCAGTGAGTAATAGACTACTCTAATAATTAGAAAACCCCCCATTTTTTTTTTTTTTGATGAAAGGAAAAATATGGATCAATAGCATAGTTTAGGCTTCTTGCCCACATCATTCAACCAAGATCACCTGTTCTCACAGAGACTATAAACATGGTTAAGAACTTATATCAAGAACTTGTGATCAGCCGGGCGTGGTGGCTCACGCCTGTAATCCTAGCACTCTGGGAGGCTGAGGCGGGTGGATTGCTCAAGGTCAGGAGTTCGAAACCAGCCTGAGCAAGAGTGAGACCCTGTCTCTACTAAAAATAGAAAGAAATTAATTGGCCAACTAAAAATATATAGAAAAAATTATCCGGGCATGGTGGCGCATGCCTGTAGTCCCAGCTACTTGGGAGGCTGAGGCAGGAGGATTGCTTGAGCCCAGGAGTTTGCGGTTGCTGTGAGCTAGGCTGACACCATGGCACTCTAGCCCAGGCAACAGAGTGAGACTCTATCTCTTAAAAAAAAAAATGTGATCTAGTTATGGAGACAAAACACACAGTATAGGATGTAAGAGTGTTTTGGGAATTCATAGGAAGAAGAGATGGCTTTTTTTTTTTTTTTAAACCTAAGGTATGAAACTATAGATGGCTTTTTTTAATGACTTCTGACTAGGAAGGTCAAGAGACAGAAATGGAATGAGCAAAGGTGCGAGAATTGTACTTGTTTCAGGCATATGGATTATACTTTAATCCCATAATCCTGTTGAACCCCCTTGCACCTACATCCTTAAATAATTATGTAGATATTTCTCTAGGTAGAGAAATTGTTCACAAAATGTTGCACTATTTTATATTCCTACGAACCATGTATAAAAATGAACTTTCAAATAATACATTTGAATTCTCATTTCCTTGATCCCTAGAAAACAGATTTTTCATATGTTTATTAATCATTTGTATTTCTTTTCTGACTTGCTTTTTGTGATTTTTGATTTTTTTAAAAAATTGAGTTTATCTTGATTTGTTAGGAGGACTTTGTTTAATTAATATTTATGAAATATGGATATTTAACCATTGTCTATTATATGTTGCATATATTTCCTTCTAATATGACATTTGCCTTTTAACTTTTGTTTATAGTGTTTTATTTTGCCATGTAAACCTTAATGTGGTCTAATATTCATAGTCTTTTTTTTCAGGGCTTTGTAGCGTTATGAAATACTTCCCCACACTTAATATTATAAGAATGTTCTCTTATAGATACTTGATTGGTTTTATTCTTTATGGTTGGCTCTTTAATAGACTTGGAATTTATTTTCATGTCTCATATTAGGTAGGGCTCTCATTTATATCAGAGAGATTTGGCTAACATTTTGACTTCTTAAAGTCAGAGATAATTTTTCATTTAAAATAAAATGGACACAGTTTTCACTGATTCTGACATCTGTTGAAAATACAGGATACCAAAGAAATTGAAACATTAATAATACCTTTGGAATCTTAAATTCAGCTGATGGAAAAAAAAAAAAAGAATACCCTCTAAGTAAATTAAACATTTTTGGTTCTTTTCAGAAAAAAGAAATCTTATATTCTGATGTTTGGTTTTGACAGAAAAATCTTAGATTGATTAATAAAAGCTTTAGATTGATTAAATTAATTGTGCGTTATGGAGATGAAGCTCTAAAGGAAGAATAGAAAGCTTTGTAAGATACAGTTCTGTAACTCTCAGTTGGACAGCTTCTATAAAGCAGTGTTTATTTTTGAAATGGTAATAGTAATTCACTATCTATTTTTTTGTTTACTTTTGTTGAAACTAAGCTCAGTTTCCAAATCAATCACAGTACAGTAATTTACTGTTTTCCTTTATATATCCAGAAGAAAATTTAGACGAATTGTCCGGTGAACGACAAAGGAAACGCCACAAGTCTGATAATATTTCCCTTTCATTTGATGAAAGCCTGGCTCTGTGTGTAATAAGGGAGATATGTTGTGAAAGAAGCAGCAGCAGCGAATCTACAGGGACTCCATCAAATCCGGTAATGTTCTCATTTTAAGTAAAACAAGACTCTTATTTTTCAAATCTAGTTTTAGCCATCCTCGTAGGGGTGAGGAACCTTTGGTCTTGGGGCCACATGTGCACTCTGGATCCTTGAGTGCAGCCTTTAGACTGAATCCAAATTTTACAGAACAGATTCTTTTAATAATAATCGTTTTGCCTGCTGCTAAATACAGTGGTGAATTTTACTTTCAAACAAAACTACTATATAGGTCTTCTCCACCTCCAACCCTAGCTTTGGGACGAATGGTGGGAGATAGTGGAGTAACACTGGTATTGGTAAAATTAGAATCAATATTAATAGTTATTAATGTCATCCTGTGTATTAGAGAATCTTTGTGGACCACTGTACCAATCATAAATTCAAATAAATTAGACTATAGCATAGTCTGAGAATTTGGAAGTTACATTTTTTTAAAAATAAGGGAACAAAACCCAAAATTTGGTTCAATTAAATAGCTTAGGATTCTAAGACAAATTTGTCTTTAATATTTAGAGTATATATTTTATTACAGCTGTCAGCAATAAGTCAGCATAGTCTGAGCTTCACATTTGCCATACATAGGTCTAGACATCAGGGAAGGTCTTTTTACTAATGCTGTGACATATGGGTATATTATCGCATGGATGTTGGGAGAATATTAGTATGTTCTGATTACTGATACAGAATTTCAAAGTATTAGCCAAAAATAAAACTTTTAAGAGATGTCACTAAAGGAGGTTTGGTAAAAAAATTTCTGCTAACAAGAATGCTTGGAAAATGGAATCTTTTTTTTTTTTTTATTTTTTTTTATTTTTTTATTTTTCTTTTTACCAAGCACTGTATGTTCTCATGAAAATGGAATCTTTTCTTTCTTACTAAACATTATGAAAATTGGAACCTTTCTTTGAAATATGGCAGTGTCTCATGGTCATTATTTCTGGATATTAGTGATCATTTTATATAGTTCTCTAAATGATGTAGGAGACTGAATCAACTGTGATAGTAACCCTATTCTTACTTCCTGTATCATCTTTACATTTTTCTCTTCCAAAGCAGTGATTGTGTGAATACTGACCTGCTTTCTTGAGTTAGTGCTGTATTTAACAGAGCCGTTACATGTGTAGGCCACTAGGTGTCATCGTGAGCTCCTGCTAAGTGTGGGAGCAACTTCTTCATTCAGCAGATGTTTATGTTGTTTCTGTGCCAGGTTTCATGCAGTGGAGATGGCAGTGGAGATACAGAGATAGTCAAGGTATTAATACACATGGTTCCTGCCCTTGTGGGGAGAGAGACCATTAACAATTAAATGATGAAACATTTAATAAAAAATCCTATACAAAATACAGGTTCTTAAGAACAAATATGTGTGATCTGAAAATTGAGTCAAACTAAAGAAAACTTGATTGGGTACACAAACCACAAGTTTGGTTAATTTTATTCTTTACAAATGGCTTAAAAAAGAGAATTATTATACCCCATTTAACTTAATGCTACTGTTTGTTTATTTCTTTACCACTAGTCAAGTGAAGCAGTGGGTTAACTTACAGTCTTTTTAAAAGTTGTATAAGAATTCTAGCTAAATGGTATTTGTAGTCTTTGTTACTGCTTTGTACCTGGGACACTGCCTTGTTATCAAAACAGAGTATAGAAGGGTATTTCTGTTTTGTTGTTGTCAGTCCTGTCCCACACTCTTATAAAAATCCTATTAAAAATCTGTTGTTTTTTAGCTCAGTCCCTAGTTGTAAATGCTTTTGACACGGCCAACTTTTTTTTCCTTCATTTTAGTTATAGTCATCATTTAGTGTCATTGTTCATCAATTTATGAAGGGAGTTAAAAGTGTATTCCTCTCTCATCATCTTTTGCATTTAATAAATTGGGAAGCTGTGCTGTAGATTTAGTTACTAGGCAGTTTATATTGTATTTTAATATCTCAGCAGCCTCAAACTTAATTTACAGGTGGGAAAGCTAAGACTTGGGAGTTTTAAATAACTTGTTTAAGGTTCCTACAACTAATAATTGTCACAATTGGAATTTAGACAAAACCAGGCATCTTTCAGATCAAGCTTGTGTGATGATTTTTAAATACCTATAGTATTTAACAATTTCTGAGTCATTTTTCTTTGAACTTTAGCCAAAACTTCTTCAAACTGCTCCTAGTTTTATATTCTTCATTGTACCTTAGAGTAGGGGTTGGCAAACTTAAGAGCCAGACCATTAATTATTGGGCTCTTCAGGCCATAGGATCTCTGTTGCAGAGATCAGTTCCACTCTTGTGATACACAAGTAGCCATAGACAACAGGTAAACAAATGGGCATGGGTGTGTTCAGTAAAACTTCATAAAAATAGATGGGCGATGGGCTTAACAGTTTGCAGACCCTTACCATAGAATAGGCTTTCTGAGACTTAATTTTTCTTGTGATTTATTCTAATATTAATGCACTGAAGACTTTATTTTTAATTGAAGCATCTGGTTTTTGAGTTACTTTATTAGAGATGTTACCGTATTCTAGCTTGACTTGTCATTCTAACCTGATTGCTAATAGAGCCCTTGTTAGGAATTAGAGCTGCATCTTGATGGATGTTGCTTTTACTACTATTTCTCTAACATCATTCTAAAAAAGTATTTTGACCTCAGAGGTCATAAAATAGTATGCTTTGGTTTTGTTTTTAGAAATGATGGAGATTAGAGATCATTTAATCTAAACTCCTTTTATAGGTGAAGTAGTTGTAGCCTTTAGAAGTTAAATGATATCTCCAAGGTTAAATCGCTACTTAGTGGCAAATCTAAAATAAGAAATGTGTGTATCATGACTCCTAGGCTTTTTCCAGTTGTAGCCTGCTTAGTATATGAGCCCACGCATAGCCACTAACAGCAAATGTGGGCCTGAAGGTCTTGCTAGGTTCTTACACAATTTATTTATTAAAAGTCCTAAAATGAGGTGTCAGATGAGCAGCAACAGAATTTTAAAGATAAATTTTGAAAAATTAAATCTGAAAACCTTTAAAAGAAATTATTTTCAAAGTTCATTAAAAAACATATAAATGTGTGTCTTGTTACTAGCATTCTACCAATTTTAATATATAAAGATGATTAAGACAGGTCTTAGCTTTCAAAGTACATATAATTCATATGAGAAACATGCATGCAAAATTATGTTTTGTGTAATTTTTGTGAGAGTATAATCAGTATCATACAAGTAGTAAAGATAATTAAAGGTGGAAGATCTCTTTCAGTTACAGTATTGATAGAGGCTTAGCTAATGAAGGATTAGTAGGATTTAGACACTGTCAAGTTATTCCTGTTATAGGAGGAAACCGTGGAGGTTGAAGTACCAAGATTAATTTAGGAAGCAATCTAGATCTTGCTGGATTCTCCATATTTAGTAAGGGAGGAAGAGGGTGTATAGTTGAAGATAAGATGAAGATGTTAATAATACTGTGTATGTACCTTCAGTGTTATGGGGCTGTGGCCCTTTTCCTTTATGCATGGAGTTTTGAACAGGGGAAATAATAATGGATTAATAGTAGTGATAACCTTGAACTTTAATCTAGTGCCAGTGCGTGGGATTGATCTGAGAAGAAAATAGAGGCACAGGGATGAATTAGGAAGCTATTACAGAGGCTAAGAGGTAATGTATATTAAATCACATTGCTTTTTTCTTATTTTAGGATCTTGATGCCGGTGTAAGTGAACATTCAGGTGATCGGCTGGATCAGGATTCAGTTTCAGATCAATTTAGTGTAGAATTTGAGGTTGAATCTCTTGATTCAGAAGATTATAGCCTTAGTGAAGAAGGACCAGAACTCTCAGATGAAGATGATGAGGTAGTTTTTTTCCTTCCAATTATATTAGAAAACTGTTAAATATTTTCCATGTTCGTTGACTTTGATGAGTTTGAAATAATATATTCAAATCATTTAGATTTCACTTGAAATCCTTGCCTCTTGATTTGTTCAAACTAGAGTATTGGTTTGTATACTTGGGGCTTTAATAATTCTTATCATTTGATTTATATATTGTTATATTCTTGCTAATATCAAGAAGTCAATAGGCCTTAATAAACATTCTTATAACAGTCTATTCATTTTTTAAAATATTCAGTTACCCTCTTTTGATATTAACTTTTTATAAAAGTGAAACATATACACAGTTAAAGTCAAATAGTACCTCCAGATCTATTTTCTGGAAGTGGCTGACTTCAACATTTCTAGCTATTTCTCTGCTATTTCCCCTCATATTTATAATATAAAACCACTTATGCTGACTGTTTGGTTTGGTTTTAAATGTCCTATCTATTGACTTTTCCCAGGGTGGATGAGGATTTCACTGTCCTCCATTTTCCCCCTTTATTCTCGCTCCATTTGACCATTATCTCAGAATTTTTCATTTATAGTAATACACACTGTTTGTTTAGGACCTACCACTAAGAAGCCTTCTTTGTTGAAGGAAAAAAGGTGATGAATTGATGCTAATGAATTTGTTTTATTAGGTATATCGAGTTACTGTGTATCAGGCAGAGGAGAGTGATACAGATTCATTTGAAGAAGATCCTGAGATTTCCTTAGCTGTAAGTATATATCTACTTTTTTAAGGAATCAAAAAATAACAGTGGGGTCAAGATTAGGAAAATATGTCTAGAAGTCTTCTCTCTGAAATGAGGTGTTTTTTTTTAAAGTTAGAATCTTTTCTTAAAATCTAAATGATTTAAAGCATTTTTTTTCTATTTGTTACAGTGAGATTTCTTGCTATAATCTTTATTTTTATGTGCTAGAATTTGAACTTTGTAAGATTTTAATATGGAAAATATCAAGTGTGTACAGCACAGAGAGTGGTGTAATGAATCTTTAGTGTACTCACCTGACTTTAACAATTACCAACATTTTGGCAATTTTGTCAAATGTAAACTTTATTTTTTTTGTAAATGTAAACTGCTTTTTCTTTTTTTGAGAGAAAGTCTTACTCTGTTGCCCAGGTGAGTGCCGTGGCGTCAGCCTAGCTCACAGCAACCTCAGACTCCTGGGTTCAACCCATCCTTTGCCTCAGCCTCCCAGGGAGCTTGGACTACAGGCACGCACCACAACGCCCGGCTAATTTTTTCTATTTTTAGTAGAGACAGGGTCTCGCTCTTGTTCAGGCTGGTTTTGCACTCCTGTGCACAAGCAATCCTCCCACCTGGGCCTCCCAGAGTGCTAGATTACAGGTGTAAGCTACCGTGCCTGGTTTAAACATTTTTAACATTGACTCATAGAATATGGTAGAATTTGCCATTTAAGAAATTAAGACTTAAATATTTACATCTCATGTATGTTTCAATGGGTTCCTGAGGTATTAGAAGGTTTTTTTAAAAATTATTACTGCTTTAATTTTTGTTCTTAATACTGCCTTTTATTATATTTGAATGGGAAATAAATTCCATTTTTTTCTGAGTTGGAAACACTAATTATACAAATGCAAAAAAGATGAAATGTTAAGATCTTTTTCAAAATTTTTGCTATATTAGTAGAAAATAAGTAAGTAGTTGACCCACCTGATACCAATTCGAGTAAAATATTTAGATGTAGATCTTGCAATTTATTAGACTTTTTGAAGCATTTTCTGTCCCACATTGCAAGACCTTTGTCTTTGGTTTTAGAGGAAACCACCTTTGATAACTTGAAAGAACCAATGTGGGAGAATGACCAGTCTCTGCCCTTATTACTACTGTCTTATGTCATTTGTCAGGCAATCTCAAAATGGTTACATACTCATGTCACAATAGAAAGGACCTCTCATGGCTGTTTTACTTGTAATGTGTCCTCAGGCAAGAACCATGCTTAAGTTAAGGCAAGGAGTTAAGGATATATTCAGTAAGAAGGCTGAGAATGTGGGAGTTTATTATTCAAATTGCATGATGGAAAGGTAGAAGCACTGGGCAGTTACAGATTTGGAACACAGGAGAGGCTAGACAAAAGGGCATGCATGCATTATGGATAGCGACCAAGGATGACAGGTTTTGCTGAGAAGAATGTTGTAGCATTTCCCTCTTGAGTGGAATTAAGGAGTACTCAGTTGAGCCATGGGTTTAGAGCAGGTCCTCAAACTTTTTAAACAGGGGGCCAGTTTACTGTCCCTCAGACCATTGGAGGGCCGGACTATAGTTTTAAAAAAACTATGAACAAATTCCTATGCACACTGCACACATCTTATTTTGAAGTAAAAAAAACCAAACGGGCAAAAATACCTGCATGTGGCCCGCGGGCTGTAGTTTGAGGACGCCTGATTTAGGGTATAGCTAAGGTAGTCCTAGCCACTGGTATTGGGAGGCATTCTCTAGGAGGCACATTTCATCTAGATTGATTAGGTGAACTCTAGGGATAGTGGCATGGTTGAGGCTTTGAGGGAGTGGGTCCATGCTTCTTTACAGAGTAAAATATCCATAGCACTTGCTCAACTAAATGAACTAACTGTATCTGTATCTTGAAACAGATAACTTTGCAGTATCAATATGACAGTAAAGCCGGGTGCGGTGGCTCACTCCTATAATCCTAGCATTCTGTGAGGCTGAGACAGGTGGATCGTTTGAGCTCAGGAGTTTGAGACCAGCCTGAGCAAGAGTGAGACCTTGTCTCTACTAAAAATAAAAAGAAATTAGCTGAACAACTAAAAATATATAGAAAAACTAGCACTCTGGGAGGTCGAGGCAGGTGGATTGCTCAAGGTCAGGAGTTCGAAACCAGCCTGAGCAAGAGCGAGACTGTCTCTACCAGAAAATAGAAAGAAATTAATTGTCAACTAAAAAAATATATATTAAAAAAAAATTAACCAGGCATGGTGGTACATGCCTGTAGTCCCAGTTACTTGGAAGGCTGAGGCGAAGGATTGCTTGAGCCACAGGAGTTTGAGGTTGCTGTGAGCTAGGCTGATGCCATGCACTCTGGCCCAGGCAACAAAGTAAGACTCTGTCTCAAAAAGATAAAAAATTAAAAATATCACAGTAATATATTTTAGTTTCAGGATTTTTCAGGCTGATATGGCTGGGAAAAAAATGTGCTTGCCATCTTATACTTGTTACATGACTGTTACATATTGACTTTTTAAAATCTTTATTTTATTGATATATTTGAGGCATGCAGTATGATATTTTGACATATATAGTGAAATAATTACTACAGTAAGCAAATTAAGTATCTGTTGTCTCTAATAGTTATCTTTTTGTCTGTGTGGTTAAAGAACCTAAAATCTACTCTTAGTACATTTTAAGATACAATATTATTAACTATAGTCTTCATGCTGTACACATTGACTATTTTATATAAAACATGAAATGCTGAAAACTGAGCTGTGTATTATTTTACTTTATACAGAAGTTGCTAATAACGGTATGACTAGTAAAGAGTTACAGAAACTAACTTTGTGTCTTATTTCAATGAAGGACTATTGGAAGTGTACTTCATGCAATGAAATGAATCCTCCCCTTCCACCACATTGCAACAGATGTTGGGCACTTCGTGAGAATTGGCTTCCTGAAGATAAAGGGAAAAATAGAGGGGTTATCTCGGAAAAAGCCAAACTAGAAACTCAACACAAGCAGAAGAGGGCTTTGATGTTCCAGATTGTAAAAAAACTACATGAATGATTCCAAAGAGTCATGTCTTGAGGAAAATGATGATAAAATCACACAAACCTCCCAGTCACAAGAAAGTGAGGACTATTCTCAGCCATCAACTTCTAATAGTATTATTATAGTAGCCAAGAAGACGTCAAAGAGTTTGAGAGGGAAGAAACACAAGACAAAGAAGAAAATATGGAATCTAGCTTTCCTCTTAATGCCATTGAACCTTGCGTGATTTGCCAAGGTCGACCTAAAAATGGTTGCATTGTCCATGGCAAAACAGGACATCTTATGGCATGTTTTACATGTGCAAAGAAGCTAAGAAAAGGAATAAGCCCTGCCAGTATGTAGACAACCAATTCAAATGATGTGCTAACTTATTTCCCCTAGTTGATCTGTCCATGAAAGAGTTACTATAACCCTAAAAGTTTAGACAGCATGAAACATTTTTATTTACATATATCAAAGAGAAATATCTCAGTCCATGAAGATTTCTTCTCTTTACTGTAATTTACCTACTTTGGGAGGAGAATAGTGACTATTTATTTGCTTTAGAAAATTCACTTCTGTTTATATTTGGTTTTAATGTAATTTGAATTGGATATATAGCTCCATCCCTTACTCATCCCCTCATTTTAAATAATTTACTTTCTCTTAGAAGTATCTGATTTTTAAAATTAATATATATGTGTGTAGGACATCTAAATGTAACTTATTCAGTATCTTTCATGTAAGGAGAAAATGTTTTGACAGGTGTTAATATTAAATTTTGATACTCTTAAATCTTTTGATTTTTGTTTTCTCTTCTGAGCGGCATGAATATACTCTAGGTAAAAAAGTTAACAGTTGTATTTGGTGCTATGTAAGTAAAAATGTACTCCTTATTCTCTAGTCTCTGGTATACTGTAGAAGGGATGGTGGTGATGTTAGTGAGAATTGCCTCATAAGACAAAACTTTTTAAGGCTCCCTAGTAAAATGGGGAATTGTCTTGGGAGTCTAACCTAGTATACCAGTCCCTTTGTCACAAAGGATCCTTTTCAGGATTAGTGGAAACTGTTGCCCTATGTTGAAAAACAGCTCTAAGATGCTTTGAGGACCTTGGGCTCGGTTATGTGGTTCTTGGTAGTTGCCTAGGTTTCGGACCTTTTCTTAAGGCCAGTTTAGAAACTTGTGAATTCAGAAATTGATAAACAGAATTGCTCATTTTAAACTAAGCTGAAAAGGTTGGTTATAAGTTCTTTCTGATTATGCAGAAATTAGGTATCACTTTCCTTCAAGAAAACAGGGTCAGAACATAGATTAAAAATATCTGTTGGCTTCCTGTCAAGCTTGGCGTTGGTCGTAAACCATGCATATTAAGAATGGTTAGTTCCCTTTGGGGCCATCTCCTGGCCATGGCATGATGTTTATCTGTACCGTTGCAAGCTGTTCAGATTCTGAAGTCCATATGTCATAAAACTTTAAAAAGTGCAATTCTCACAAGGTCAGGTAGACTAAAAAGCATTCTGTAAAAGCAGCTAGTGTAAGACTAATTCATTTGATTTGAACAACAGAAATGAGTCTATCAAATGCCAACAAGAGCTATAGAATAAAACTGATGACTCAATGAAGAAAGTTGAAGAGATGAACAGAAATGCCAAGCAAATTTATAATGAACAATTCAAGAAAAATAAAGAGCTACAGAAAGTTCAGGACATCAAAGAAGTCAAGCAAAACATCTTATCTGGGCCCCTCTTGGAGGTAAAGGAAAGCAGCTGAAGGAAAAGAAGCTATAGCAGTTATTAATACAGTAACGTGGACATGGAATATGTTTCTTAGAAAATCTCATTGCAACCATTTCTGTCTGTACATTTGAAAATCTCCTTTAGAGAGTTAGAACTTCTAAATTATTGATTTATTTTTTACATAACCCTGCTCAAGAGTGATTAAAAATACTTCTACATTGCTGTTTGCAAAACGTGATATTATGGATGTTAGATTGCGTCTCAGTGTTAAATCTTTACTGTTAGATGTGTGAATCATGGAAATTCTGTAAATACAGAAGTGAAATATGGACATAAAATGGTCATGCCCTTTGGGTAATGGTACCAGGTAGCATTTATGTAATAACTAATGGCAAAAATTCATGTCTAGTGATATATAAAATAAAATTTTATTTGTAGTAAAATGTCTTAGAAGGTAGGATACAACAAGGAACTATCAATTTGTATGACAGTGAGCCTCAAATAATATATTTTAATTTGATTTCAGTATTTCCTATTTTGGTTTATTAGCATCTTAGAAGAACATAATGGCCTTACATAATGAAGCCTATTTATGCTGTACTCTTTTGACCTGGTTTCACTGTTCTTATGGGTAGTTGTGGATGTTGGAGATGAGCGCTGAATACTCCTTGCCCGAAATGGCACTATATTATTTCCACTTTGCCAATACTCAGTTCTAACTTGTGATGCCTAGTAGAACAAGGTTTATTTTTCTAGCCTAGCAATTAAATCTAGAAGCAGAGGAATCCCAGTGCCTTAAGATTTACGGGTTTTCGTTTAAAAAGCTTCTTTCTGCTTCTGGAAAACAGAATTATGGTAGAACATCTGTCCATTATTTGCACATAAAACCCTTCTAATGGTACAAAGTTACAATTAGGCATAAGTTATTGTGTTCTGTTGCATAGTAGGTTACTATAGTTAACAATAATGTATGAATGTTTCAAAATAGCTAAGAAAGAGCTTGGAATGTTCTTACTTCAAAGAAATGATAAATGTTTGAATTGATGGGTATGCTAGTTACCTCAGTTTGATCATTTCACACTGTATACATGTGTCAAAACATCACATTTTACCCCATAAATATGTGCAATTATTGTAGATGAATTAAAAATTCTAAAAAAAATTTCTAAAGTAAAAAGATATCTCAGACTGTGGAGATTAACTTCTTGATTTATATTTAAATAAGAATCTTCAGCAAAGATGTGAAGTAGTGAAGTAATCACCTTGGTCTAAGGTCCCATGTTCTGTGTGTGAGTTGTTATACATCCAGGTGAAGACAACAAAATCAAGTGAACTGTAAGTTAGACTCAACCTGAGGGATGATTTGCATAGCCACTTTATGTGCCAATTACAGTACATGTGTTTTGAAACCATGTGACACACACCATGCACACACAACTTACCACTTACCCATCATATAAGTAGGAAACAAATGGCTGAAGTGATCAGTACTCCAGCTTTGGAGGTCCTCAAATACAACAAGCTTTATTTGGAATTTATAATACTTCAACTAGAACCAAGTGTATCCATTTTTTCTGAGGAGAGTTGATAGTATAAATGAAATTATAAATGAACTACATTTAGGTTATATGTCTGGAATACTATGATTATACATTTTAAATTTGCAAATAGATCTCTACATGCTTATGGATTACTAATGTCTTGATTGTCTAAATTTTTAGGTTTAATATACATATATTGATTTGCAAATAAATGATTAAGAATTGTTTCAAGAATGTGATTATTGGTTCTTAGAAATAATTTTCTCATAATGAGTCGTTAAACATTGAATGTCATATTTGAGTAACTAAAGACACAAGTCTAAATGTGTTTCTTTTAGAATGGTCATGCCTGCCCACCCTGAAAGCACACTTATCACTGGGTAGCTGGATGCAGTTGGGAGCCTCATAGGCATTGAATAAGACCAACTTGAGAGAATAGTGGTGTAGGTTAGTAGGACTAGGAAATGCTGTTTTCTCCCTATCCTCACTTGGGTCATCACATGGTAGCCTGGCTTAAGTAGTTTCCTGAGCGATAGTGAATGGTCTAGAAGGGATATAGCTGGGAGAAGGGAAGGGATCTTAGGCTAACCATCATGCCACTTGTCAGCATAAAAAGCACTATTGTAGGGTATGGTGGCTCACACCTGTAATCTAGTACTTTGGGATGATTGCTTGAGGCCCGGAGTTCGGGACCAGCCTGGGCAGTACAGCAAGACCCCATCTCTACAAAAAGTCAAAATTAGCTGGGTGTGGTGGTGAGTACCTATAGTCCCAGCTACTCGGAAAGCTGAGGCAAGAGAATTGCTTGATCCCAGGAGTTTGAGGTTGCAGTGAGCTATGATGACGCTACTGCACTCTAGCCTGAGTGATAGAGCTAGACCCTGTTCCCCTCTTCCTCCAAATCCCCCCCCCCACGCCAACTAAGAAACATCCTGAAAAAAATATTGTCTGTACAATAAATGGCAAAAAAGAGAAACGTTCTAAGGAAACAGTGGTCTTTAAAAGTTCATGTCAGAATTATGAGAGAATTGAAAAGGCTTTTCTCTAACAAAATCCCTCCTATAAAAATACTTTTTCCACATTTTAGTTGGCCAATTAATTTTTTTATTTTTAGTAGAGACGGGGTTTCACTCTTGTTTAGGCTGGTCTCAAACTCCTGACCTTGAGCAATCCGCCTGCCTCTGCCTCCCAGAGTGCTAGGATTATAGGCATGAGCCACCATGCCCAGCCACAGATAATTTTCTTTTCTCACATTCCTTTTCTCACATTTGTTTCTTTTTGTAAGAGGCATAGAAGACCAAATCTCTTCAGAGTTATACACTTTTTAACCACATGGTGGAAGCAACACATTAGGAGAGCTGAAGGTATCCACTAATGGTAGACCCATCCTAACAGTGCTGAGAGAACACTCCAAGAGAAATTGCTGGCCTAGAGAGCAAGGAAATGATGGGAGTTCTAAGTTGTCAAACAAACCACTTTACATTCCTGTCCTAAAATCCTTTACTATTGTTCCTTCAGAGATTCATGAGACAAATACTGCCTAAGGATACTATGCTTTTTCTTCCTTTTTTTTTTTTTTTAAGAGATGGGGTCTTGCCATGTCGCCCATGCTAGCCTTGAACTCCTGGGCTTGAGCAGACCTTCTACCTCAGCTGGGATGTCTGGCATGTGGCACTGTGCTGGCTCAAAAAATACTGTGCTTTAGTGTTGAAGGATGACCTTCCGCCGGGCGTCGGAGTTATGTGGTTCTTGGTAGTTGCCTAGGTTTCGACCTTTTCTTAAGGCCAGTTTAGAAACTTGTGAATTCAGAAATTTGATAAACAGAATTGCTCATTTTAAACTAGCTGAAAAGGTTGGTTATAAGTTCTTTCTGATTATGCAGAATTAGGTATCACTTTCCTTCAGAAAGACAGGGTCAGAACATAGGATTAAATATCTGTTGGCTTCCTGTCAAGCTTGGCGTTGGTCGGTAAACCATGCATATTAAGAATGGTTAGTTCCCTTTGGGGCCCATCTTCCTGGCCATGGCATGATGTTTATCTGTACTCGTTGCAAGCTGTTCAGATTCTGAAGTCCATATGTCATAAAACTTTAAAAAGTGCAATTCTCACAAGGTCAGGTAGACTAAAAAGCATTCTGTAAAAGCAGCTAGTGTAAGACTAATTCATTTGATTTGAACAACAGAAATGAGTCTATCAAATGCCAACAAGAGCTATAGAATAAAACTGATGACTCAATGAAGAAAGTTGAAGAGATGAACAGAAATGCCAAGCTAAATTTATAATGAACAATTCAAGAAAAATAAAGAGCTACAGAAAGTTCAGGACATCAAAGAAGTCAAGCAAAACATCTTATCTGGCCCTCTTGGAGGTAAAGGAAAGCAGCTGAAGGAAAAGAGCTATAGCAGTTATTAATACAGTAACGTGGACATGGAATATGTTTCTTAGAAAATCTCATTGCAACCATTTCTGTCTGTACATTTGAAAATCTCCTTTAGAGAGTTAGAACTTCTAAATTATTGATTTATTTTTTACATAACCCTGCTCAAGAGTGATTAAAAATACTTCTACATTGCTGTTTGCAAAACGTGATATTATGGATGTTAGATTGCGTCTCAGTGTTAAATCTTTACTGTTAGATGTGTGAATCATGGAAATTCTGTAAATACAGAAGTGAAATATGGACATAAAATGGTCATGCCTTTGGGTAATGGTACCAGGTAGCATTTATGTAATAACTAATGGCAAAAATTCATGTCTAGTGATATATAAAATAAAATTTTATTTGTAGTAAAATGTCTTAGAAGGTAGGATACAACAAGGAACTATCAATTTGTATGACAGTGAGCCTCAAATAATATATTTTAATTTGATTTCAGTATTTCCTATTTTGGTTTATTAGCATCTTAGAAGAACATAATGGCCTTACATAATGAAGCCTATTTATGCTGTACTCTTTTGACCTGGTTTCACTGTTGTTATGGGTAGTTGTGGATGTTGGAGATGAGCGCTGAATACTCCTTGCCCGAAATGGCACTATATTATTTCCACTTTGGCAATACTCAGTTCTAACTTGTGATGCCTAGTAGAACAAGGTTTATTTTTCTAGCCTAGCAATTAAATCTAGAAGCAGAGGAATCCCAGTGCCTTTAAGATTTACGTGGTTTTTCGTTTAAAAAGCTTCTTTCTGCTTCTGGAAAACAGAATTTATGGGTAGAACATCTGTCCATTATTTGCACATAAAACCCTTCTAATGGTACAAGTTACAATTAGGCATAAGTTATTGTGTTCTGTTGCATAGTAGGGTTACTATAGTTAACAATAATGTATGAATGTTTCAAAATAGCTAAGAAAGAGCTTGGAATGTTCTTACTTCAAAGAAATGATAAATGTTTGAATTGATGGGTATGTAGTACTCAGTTTGATCATTTCACACTGTATACATGTGTCAAACATCACATTTTACCCATAAATATGTGCATTATTGTAGATGAATTAAAATTCTAAAAAAATTCTAAAGTAAAAAGATATCTCAGACTGTGGAGATTAACTTCTTGATTTATATTTAAATAAGAATCTTCAGCAAAGATGTGAAAGTAGTGAAAGTAATCACCTTGGTCTAAGGTCCCAGTGTTCTGTGTGTGAGTTTTATACATCCAGGTGAAGCACAACAAAATCAAGTGAATGTAAGTTAGACTCAACCTGAGGGATGATTTGCATAGCCACTTTATGTGCCAATTACAGTACATGTGTTTTGAAACCATGACACACACCATGCACACACAACTTACCATTACCCATCATATAAGTAGGAAACAAATGGCTGAAGTGATCAGTACTCGCAGCTTGGAGGTCCTCAAATACAACAAGCTTTATTTGGAATAATACTTCACTAGAACCAAGTGTATCCATTTTTCTGAGGAGAGTTGATAGTATAAATGAAATTATAAATGAACTACATTTAGGTATATGTCTGGATATACTATGAAGTTTGAGGACGCCTGATTTAGGGTATAGCTAAGGTAGTCCTAGCCACTGGTATTGGGAGGCATTCTCTAGGAGGCACATTTCATCTAGATTGATTAGGTGAACTCTAGGGATAGTGTCATGGTTGAGGCTTTGAGGGAGTGGGTCCATGCTTCTTTACAGAGTAAAATATCCCATAGCACTTGCTTCAACTAAATGAACTAACTGTATCTGTATCTTGAAACAGATAACTTTGCAGGTATCAATATGACAGTAAAAGCCGGGTGCGGTGGCTCACTCCTATAATCCTAGCATTCTGTGAGGCTGAGACAGGTGGATCGTTTGAGCTCAGGAGTTTGAGACCAGCCTGAGCAAGAGTGAGACCTTGTCTCTACTAAAAATAAAAAGAAATTAGCTGAACAACTAAAAATATATAGAAAAACTAGCACTCTGGGAGGTCAAGGCAGGTGGATTGCTCAAGGTCAGGAGTTCGAAACCAGCCTGAGCAAGAGCGAGACCTGTCTCTACCAGAAAATAGAAAGAAATTAATTGGTCAACTAAAAATATATATATAAAAAAAAAAATTAACCAGGCATGGTGGTACATGCCTGTAGTCCCAGTTACTTGGAAGGCTGAGGCAGAAGGATTGCTTGAGCCCAGGAGTTTGAGGTTGCTGTGAGCTAGGCTGATGCCATGCACTCTGGCCCAGGCAACAAAGTAAGACTCTGTCTCAAAAAGATAAAAAAATTAAAAATATCACAGTAAATATATTTTTAGTTTCAGGATTTTTCAGGCTGATCTGGCTGGGAAAAAAATGTGCTTGCCATCTTATACTTGTTACATGACTGTTACATATTGACTTTTTAAAATCTTTATTTTATTGTATATATTTGAGGCATGCAAGTATGATATTTTGACATATATAGTGAAATAATTACTACAGTCAAGCAAATTAAGTATCTGTTGTCTCTAATAGTTATCTTTTTTGTCTGTGTGGTTAAAGAACCTAAAATCTACTCTTAGTACATTTTAAGGATACAATATTATTAACTATAGTCTTCATGCTGTACACATTGACTATTTTATATAAAACATGAAATGCTGAAAACTGAGCTGTGTGATTATTTTACTTTATACAGAAGTTGCTAATAACGGTATGACTAGTAAAGAGTTACAGAAACTAACTTTGTGTCTTATTTCAATGAAGGACTATTGGAAGTGTACTTCATGCAATGAAATGAATCCTCCCCTTCCACCACATTGCAACAGATGTTGGGCGCTTCGTGAGAATTGGCTTCCTGAAGATAAAGGGAAAAATAGAGGGGTTATCTCGGAAAAAGCCAAACTAGAAAACTCAACACAAGCAGAAGAGGGCTTTGATGTTCCAGATTGTAAAAAAACTACAGTGAATGATTCCAAAGAGTCATGTCTTGAGGAAAATGATGATAAAATCACACAAACCTCCCAGTCACAAGAAAGTGAGGACTATTCTCAGCCATCAACTTCTAATAGTATTATTTATAGTAGCCAAGAAGACGTCAAAGAGTTTGAGAGGGAAGAAACACAAGACAAAGAAGAAAATATGGAATCTAGCTTTCCTCTTAATGCCATTGAACCTTGCGTGATCTGCCAAGGTCGACCTAAAAATGGTTGCATTGTCCATGGCAAAACAGGACATCTTATGGCATGTTTTACATGTGCAAAGAAGCTAAAGAAAAGGAATAAGCCCTGCCCAGTATGTAGACAACCAATTCAAATGATTGTGCTAACTTATTTCCCCTAGTTGATCTGTCCATGAAAGAGTTACTATATAACCCTAAAAGTTTAGACAGCATGAAACATTTTTATTTACATATATCAAAGTGAGAAAATATCTCAGTCCATGAAGATTTCTTCTCTTTACTGTAATTTACCTACTTTGGGAGGAGAATAGTGACTATTTATTTGCTTTTAGGAAAATTTCACTTCTGTTTATATTTGGCTTTTAATGTAATTTGAATTGGATATATAGCTCCATCCCTTACTCATCCCCCTCATTTTAAATAATTTCTACTTTCTCTTAGAAGTATCTGATTTTTAAAATTAATATATATGTGTGTAGGACATCTAAATGTAACTTATTCAGTATCTTTCATGTAAGGAGAAAATGTTTTGACAGGTGTTAATATTTAAATTTTTTGATACTCTTAAATCTTTTGATTTTCGTTTTTCTCTTCTGAGCGGCATGAATATACTCTAGGTAAAAAAGTTAACAGTTGTATTTGGTGCTATGTAAGTAAAAATGTACTCCTTATTCTCTAGTCTCTGGTTATACTGTAGAAGGGATAGGTGGTGATGATGTTAGTGAGAATTGCCTCATAAGACAAAACTTTTTTAAGGCTCCCTAGTAAAATGGGGAATTGTCTTGGGAGTCTAACCTAGTATACCAGTCCCTTTGTCACAAAGGATCCTTTTCAGGATTTAGTGGAATCTGTTGCCCCTATGTTGAAAAACAGCTCTAAGATGCTTTGAAGGACCTTCTTGGGCTCGGTTATGTGGTTCTTGGTAGTTGCCTAGGTTTCGGACCTTTTCTTAAGGCCAGTTTTAGAAACTTGTGAATTCAGAAATTTGATAAACAGAATTGCTCATTTTAAAACTAGCTGAAAAGGTTGGTTATAAGTTCTTTCTGAATTATACAGAAATTAGGTATCACTTTCCTTCAAGAAAGACAGGGTCAGAACATAGGATTCTAAAATATCTGTTGGCTTCCTGTCAAGCTTGGCGTTGGTCGGTAAGGACCATGCATATTAAGAAGTGTTAGTTCCCTTTGGGGCCCATCTTCCCTGGCCATGGCATGATGTTTGTCTGTACCTGTTGCAAGCTGTTCAGATTCTGTAAGTCCATATGTCATAAAAACTTTAAAAAGTGCAATTCTCACAAGGTCAGGTAGACTAAAAAGCATTCTGTAAAAGCAGCTAGTGTAAAGACCTAATTCATTTGATTTTGAACAACAGAAATGAGTCTATCAAATGCCAACGAGAGCTATAGAATAAAACTGATGACTCAATGAAGAAAGTTGAAGAGATGAAACAGAAATGCCAAGCTAAATTTATAATGAACAAATTCAAGAAAAATAAAGAGCTACAGAAAGTTCAGGACATCAAAGAAGTCAAGCAAAACATCTTATCTGGGCCCCTCTTGGAGGTAAAGGAAAGCAGCTGAAGGAAAAGAAGCTATAGCAGTTATTAATACAAAATTGTTTTGGGAATCTAGTTATGACAAAACACACGTATGATGTTAATGAGTGTTTTGGGAATTCATAGAAAAAGCATTTTTTGGGGCTTTTTTTTTTTTTTTTTTAAACCTAAGTATGAAACATAATGCTTTTTTAAATGACTTCGACTAGGAAGTCAAGAACAGAAATGAATAGCAAAGGTGGATGTAATTGTTTCAGATATGATATACTATCCATAATTGTTGAACTTGATACATCCTTAAATATTATTAATATTTCAGGTAGAGAATTGTTACAAAATGTTCACTATTTTATATTACGAAACATGTATAAATTCCTTTCAAATAATACATTTGAATCTCATTTCCTTGATCTAGAAACAGATTTTCATATGTTTATTATCATCTTGTATTTCTTTTCTGATTGCTTTTGGTGATTTTTGAATTTTTTTAAAAATTGAGTTTATCTGATTTAGGAGGCTTTGTTACATAAATTAATCATTTATGAAATATGGATATTTAACCATGTCTATTATACTGCTTGCATTATTCCCTTCTAATACTGACATTGCCTTTAACTTTTGTTATACGTGCTTTATTTTGCCAGTAAACCTTTAATGTGGTCTAATATTCTATCTGTTTTTCCAGGGCTTGTAGTGTTAGTGAAAAACTTCCCAACACTTAATATCTATAAGAATGTTCTTATAGAATGATGGTTTATTCTTTATGGTTGGCTCTTAATAATTGGAATTATCATGTCTCATATTAGGGTAGGGTTCCATTTATATCAGAGAGATTTGGCTAACTTTTGACTTCTTAAAGTCAGAGATAATTTCATTTAAAAAATGGAACAGTTTTCACGACTCTGAATCTGTTGAAATACAGGAATCCAAAGAATGAAACATTAATAATACCTTGGAACTTAAATTCAGCTGATGAAAAAAAAAGAATACCCTTAAGTCAATTAAACATTTTTTGGTTCTTTCAGAAAAAAGAAATCTTATTCTGAGTTTTGGTTTTGACAAAAAATCTTTAGACTGATTAAACCGCTTTTAGATGATTAAATAATGTGCGTTATGGAGATGCAAGTCTAAAGGAAGAATAAAAGCTTTGTAAGACTACAAGTTCTGTAATCTCAGTTGACAGTCTATACAGCAGTGGTTATTTTGAAATGTAATAGTAAATTACTATTTTTTTGTTTACTTTGTTGCAAACGTAACTCCATTTCCACATCAATCACAGTACAGTAATTACGTTCTCCTTTAATATCCAGAAGAAAATTTAGACGAATTGTCCGGAACGACAAAGAACGCCACAAGTCTGATAATATTTCCCTTCATTTGATGAAAGCCTGGCTCTGTGTGTAATAAGGGAGAATAGTTGTGAAAGAAGCAGCAGCAGCGAATCTACAGGACTCCATCAACCGTATGTCTCATTTAAGTAAAACAGACTCTTATTTTTTCAATCTAAGTTTAGCATCCTCGTAGGGTGAGGAACCTTGGTTTGCCACATGTGCACTCTGGAAAACTTGAGTGCGCCTTTAACTGAATCCAAATTTTAACAGAACAGATTTCTTTAATAATAATCTCTTTGCCTGCTCTAAATAAGTGGTGAATTTTACTTTCAAACAAATACTATATAGGTCTTCTCCACCTCCCAATACTTGGGCGAATGGTGGAATAGTGGAGTAACACTGTATTGGTAAATAGAATCAATATTATAGTTATTATGTATCCTGTATTAGGAATCTTTGTGGACCATGACATCATATTCAATAAATTAGACAATATTGATTTGGAAGTTAATTTTTTAAATATAAGGAAACAAATTGTACATTAATAGCTTAGGATGCTAAACAATTTCTTTAATTTAGAGTATATATTTTAATACAGCTGTCAGCATAGTCACATAGTCTGAGCTTCACATTTCTATAGTTCTAGACATCAGGAAGTTTTTACTAATCGAAATGGGTATATTAGTCATGCATTGGAGAATATCATGTTGATTACTGAACAGATTTCAAGTATGCAAAATAAACTTTAAGAGATGTTAACAGGTTTGGGTAAAATTTTGCTAACAAGAATCTTGAAAATGGACTTTTTTTTATAAAATTACTGCAAAATTATTTCTTAAATATGCGATGTTCAGCATTCTGATATGTGATATTTTATATTTTCTAATGAGTAGAACTGAATCAATGTGATATCTATTATTCCTGTATTTTTACATTTTTCTCTCCAAAGCAGTGGATGTGTGAATACGACTGGCTCTGAAGTAGTGCTGTATTTACAGAGCCGTACATTGTAGGCCACTTAGGTTCACGTGAGCTGTAATGTTGGAGCAATTCTCATTCAGCCAATTTACTGTGTTTGGTGTTTCATCATAGATGGAGGGATACCAGATAGTCAAGGTATTAATAACATGGTCTGTTGTGGGGAGAGAGACCATTAACAATTAAATGGAAACATTAATAAAAATCTATACAAATACAGGTTTAGCAATAGTGTGATCTGAAAATTGAGTCAACTAAAGAACTTGATTGGTACAAACCACAGTTGGTACATTTTATTCTTTACAATGGCTTAAAAAGAGATATATATACCCATTTACTTAAGCTACTGTTTTTGTTTATTTCTTTACGCTAGTCCAAGTGAAGCAGTGGGTTTAACTTACAGTCTTTTTAAAAGTTGTATAAGAATTCTAGCAAATGGTATTTGTGTCTTGTTACTCTTGTACCCTGGGAGCACTGCCTGCGTTATCAAAACAGAGTATAGAAGGGTATTTCTGTTCTTGTTTGTTGCATCCTGTCCCGCATCTCTTATAAAAATCCTTATAAAATCTGTTGTTTTTTAGCTCAGTCTAGTTGTAAATGCTTTTGACACGGCAACTTTTTTTCCCTTCATTTAGTTATAGTCATCAATTCTAGTGTCATTGTTCATCATTTACTGAAGGGAGTCTAAAAGTGTATTCTCTCCCTCATCTCTTTGCCGTTTAATAAATTCGAGGCTGTGCTGTATATTAGTTACTAGCAGTATATTGTATTTAATATCTCAGCAGCCTCCAACTTAATTTACAGGTGAAAGCTAAGATTCGTAGTTTTAAAATAACTTGTTTAAGTTCCTACAACTAATAGTTGTCACAATGAATTTAAGAAAAACCAGGCATCTTCAGACAAGCTGTGTGAGGATTTTTAAATACCATATAGTATTTAACAATTTCTGAGTCATTTCTTTTGAGACTTTAGCCAAAACTGTCTTCAACTGCTCTAGTTTAATTCTCATTTGTACTAGAAGTATGGTTGGCAACTTAAGGAGCCCAGACCCTTAATTATTGGGCTCTTCCGGCCATGGATCTCTGTTGCAGAGATATTCCACTCTTTGTGATACACAAGGTCCATCACAACAGGTAAACAATCGGCCATAGGTGTGTTCAGCCTAAAACTTCATAAAAGAAGATGGCAGGCTAACAATTTGCGACCAATACCATAGTAATGAGGCTTTCTGGAGACTTAATTTTTCTTGTGATTATTCTAAATTAATCGCAACTGAAGACTTTATTTTAATTGAAGCATCTGTTTTGAGTATTTATTCAGAGATGTTACCGATCTAGCTTACTTGTCATTCTAACCTGATTGCTAATAGAAGCCCTGTTAGCGATTAAGCCTGCCATCTGATGATGTTGCTTTACTACTATCTTCTCTAACATCATTGCTAAAAAAGTATTTGGGCCTCAGAGGTCATAAAATAGTATGCTTTGGTTTTGTTTTAAATGATGGAGTTAGAATCATTAATCTAAATTAAGTGAATAGTGTAGCCTTTAAGTTAAATATAATCCCAAGGTTTAAATCGCTACTTAGTGGCAAATTAAATAAAAATGTGTGTATCTGATCCTAGGTTTTCCAGTTGTAGCCTGCTAGTATATGGCCACGCAATAGCCACCTAACAGCAATGGCCATGAAGTTGTGCTAGGTTCTTTACACAATTTATTTATTAAAAGTCTAAGAAGGAGGTCAGATAGCACAACCAGAATTTAAAGATAAATTTGAAAAATAAATCGAAAACCTTAAAAGAAATTATTTTCAAAGTTCATTAAAAACATATAAATGTGTTGTCTTTTACAGCATTCCTACCCATTTTAATATAAAAATGAATAAGACAGGTTAACTTTTCAAATACATATAATTCATATGAAAACAGCATGCCAAAATTATGTTTTTGAATTTTTGGTGAGAGTATAACAGTATCATTACAATATCGAATTAAAGGTGGCAGAATCTCCTTGTCAGTTACAGTATTGATAGAGCTAGCTAATGAGGAGTTGATAGGATTAAAACAGCTGTCAAGCTTTATTCTGGATAGATGAAACCGTGGAGGTGAAGTACCAAGATTAATTTTAGGAAGCAATCTAGATCTTGCTGGATCTCCATATTTAAGTAAGGGAGGAGAGAGGTGTATGTTGAAAGTAAGAATGAAGAGTTATTAATACTGTGTATTGTACCCTTCATGGTTATGAGGCTGTGGCCCTTTTCCTTTATGCATGGATGTTTTGAACAGGGAAATAATAATGGATTAATAGTAGTGATAACCTTGAACTAATATCTAGTGCAGTGCGTGGATTGATCTGAGAAGAAAATAGAGGCACAGATAATTAAAGCTATTACAGAGCTAAGAGTAATGTATATAAATCACATTCTTTTTCTTATTTAGGATCTTGATGCCTGGTTCAGTGAACATCAGGTGATCGCGGATCGAGGATCAGTTTCAGATCAATTTAGTGTAGAATTTGAGGTTGAATCTCTTGATTCAGAAATTATGCCTTAGTGAAGAAGGACCAGAATCTCAGATGAAGATGATAAGGTAGTTTTTTCCTTCCAATTA